CCACCCATGCCTCCTCCTCGACGGGTCTTTTCCTTTCCCTCTCTTCTTACATCCTCTCACTACCTCACCGATGCTGTCAAACACATGAAGTTGTCGAGGAAGACGTAATGTAATACGACGAGACTAAATTTTCCCCCCCAGTAACTTTGGCCTGGAGAGGGCACCATAATTAATATTTTATCTTGGGGAAGGCCGCAGTATCTCTCCATATATGTATAATATATCATCAAACTCTTGCACAGAGGGCATTTACAACAAGGCACACCAGTCTAAGCTTCGGCAGGTGAGACCCCGAGAAAGGTATGCAGCGTGCAGATTAGCATCAACACGACATGACTATGTTTCCCAAATTCAGCGAAATTAAAACTAAATGGAATTTCAAAACTCGGGACGTCAATATAATGCTTGTGCGGTGCCACAGTACGGTATAGTTTTAAGGCTCCTTTCCCCATAAAAAGGTTACACAACTTACTCGAACTTGGCCTATGATTCCGCGTCTACTTTCGGTGGGATGGATTTAAATGGGTGGATACTCAAAGAACCTTGAAGATTCTTCATATATAAAACATTCCTTGTTCAAACACACACTGTTGGGGACTCGAACTAAGGTAATCCAAACCGCAGCCCACCCAACTAACGTTTATGCATAATTGTAATCTTCGAAGTTTTACGCCCCCATCGACATTATTTAGATTACTTAGGAACCAGATGTCTTCAACCTTGGCTGTCAGGATCACCTTGGGCTGAGAGGGATACACGAATGTCCCAACAGAAAGATGGAGACACTCACGTCTTCTGCGTGCGACGGGAAGAGAGTCTAATCGTTATATCACATACTCCAGTGAACATCAGGTGTATACCTTCAGACATGAGTTGGTTGGTCGTTTGTTTTTTTTTAAAACAGATTTTGGTAAACGTTTCACGGTACTTTCCACACAAATAGGTCATATAAGTGCAGAAAGTTAGAGGTGTCAGTGAAAAGTAACATACACCCCCTCCCTTTAAAAAACATATAAAAAACTAAAACAATAACAAAAAACAAAAAAAACAAAACAACAAAGACCCCCAAAACCCCCCAACAACAACCATCCCCAAGAAAAAAACCTAAAACAAACAAAAAACAGCAACTCCCCCAGCCCCCCCCCCCAAAAAAAAACAACAACAACAACAACAAACAAAAACAC